CTAGCAAGGAGATGATTTGGTTAACCGAGTGTCTGAAAGAGTTGGGTCTGAAGCGGGGGAACAAAGTTCTTTATTGTGATAGCCAGAATGCTATACACCTTGTCAAGAACCCAGTATATCATGCCAGAACGAAGCACATCGACGTATGTTACCATTTTATACGCTCGCTGATAGAGAATGATAAGTTATTATTAAAGAAGATTTTGAGGAGCAAAAATCCCGTAGATATGTTGACAAAGACAGTGACCATTCAAAAACTGGACTTGTGCGCAACTTCAGTTGGCCTTCATGCGTAGGAGATGAGGGCGGAACCACACTCTAAGAAATATATTAAATTGAAAAATGAGATTCTCCGGGTAGGAGAAAGTGCTTGCTAAGTTGAAGAGAGTTTGTTGACGGAGGTTTGGTTTCCAAGTGGAAGATTATTGCTCTATCAAAAATCGCTAGTGTAGAATCGCTACAGGAACGCGCGAGATTTTTCTCTGAAAAATCGCCGCTCAAGGCTCTCTACAAAATCGCCTCCAAAAAATCGCTACAAGAATCGCTCTGAAAAAAACTCACGTTCAAGTGGAGGTCAGGGTTCCCTATTTATAGGGAAACCCTAGGTCAAAATAGATTAGGAACCTGTTTTCTGTGGGTTCGCCTGACTGCGAAGCTCGCCTGTATGACTTATGTTCGTCTGAACATAGTCAAGCTTGCCTGAACTTCTTCGCCTGCACTTGGAGTTCGCCTGAACCTCCAAAGCTCGCCTGAACTGCAGGTTCGCCTAAACTCAGCTTTGAGCTTCACCTGAACTTCCAACTTCGCCTGATTTCTTAACTTAGAGATATCTTTGCTTTGCATGCTTGTTCTAAGGTTTGGGTCTACACCCGAAACGATCTCAGGGAGTTTGAGATCATCTTTTGCAAGCATTGTAATCTTTTTTAATAATAAAAGAAATTCTAATATGGCTCCCGAGAACGTAGGCACGTTTTCCGAACCTCGTTAAAATTTGGTGTTCTCTCTTTTCTTTTAGTTTTCTTTTATTTGCTGTGATTTCTTCTTGTCTTCTTTCAACACAAGATCCGGAGGGCACGTTCTGCGAGAGGGTTTATTTGACAGGTTGTCGATAGGACGAATCCCCAACAAATGGAACGCTAAAAATACCTGAAATTTTACAGATCCTAGTAAGTTTTAACGAGCTTGTAGCAGATTATATAAAGAGTTTGCAGGTACAAAAGTATATGAATGATTTTGTTGTTTCACGCTTGTAGAGTCTAGCAAGAAATGTAATTCTTGTAAACACCCAACATACATCAGTCATACATTCTGCAACAAAAATGAATATGTAAGTGGCGAGAGGAAGTCTAAACAGAAGTATGGAAGGGATTTCAGTACTCAGAAGCAGTTGAAAGAAACCATATTGGAAGTTACTAATTAACTGTGAAGAGATCTAAACTGTCATGTCGTGTAACAAAACTCTCTGTAGAAACATTGACCATTAAATATGATAACAAAACTCCTGCCAATAAGATAAGACTAGTTATTTACAGGTTAATGATAGTCTAATCGTGTGATATGATAGATAATCACAATATGATACAATGAGAAATAGAAATGGCACTTGGAAGGAACCAAAACAGGATTTTAGTACTCAGTGAAAATTGCTAAGTCAAATTCACAGTATATTTGGAAATGTTTCAACATAATTTTGTACGTGACAGCTACTCAGATACTGCTGGTTATTTATTATGTACTTAAACCAAAAGTGCTTGGTCATAGACACAATCGAGTATCTGCAATATGTCACCAAACTGCTGCAACTAAACATAAATACTGCTAACAATCTTAGCCCTTGCGTTTTTCCTGTCAATACTTAATTAGATAGCCATGACATGACATTGGCTTTGACGGGGGAGCAATGGGTAATATATCGATATGCATTCATATAAGCAGATGACCCATAACAGAAATGAGTGAAGATTAGGGTTCGCGTAGCTGACGCCCAAAACTTTTGGGATAAGAGCTTTGATGTTGTTATCGTTTATGTAAGTAGATGTCTCCTTCACCAGATGGCTCTTTTCTTTCTCAACAGTATGCTCATGTGAGTTACTGTAAGGGCTACCCATGAACAGTGGCAGAGCCATAAAATACGATATTACTATATATTTCCCCGACATAATTAGGAACCTGAATGAGAAACAAAAATATTTAATTGAATATAGTTACAGCTGATCCGTACGTGTCTGCATGTTTTGAAATTGTTGCATAATAGCATCACTCGAAATACCACTAAACACATCATTTTCAATGTTAAACTTATTTATCTTTTTTTCTTTTTCGAAATCAATGGTAGCTCTTTGATATGTGGTGAATTTGGTCATTTAATTTAATGGATCCTACGTCCCGTTATTTTTAGGTTTGACTCATTAAGAGTTAACGAGTGACTACTCTCTGCTCAAATGATTTGCGGGTGTCATTTTGCATCATAAGTTCACATATGCTCCTTATATTGTATGATTTAGTAAGGTGCCACTTCGACACCACCCTCTACATACTAGATCCACTCATGCCCACGAGCGTGCTACCCACGAGCTTGATTCGGATTTAATTAAAAAAAGCGCTGGATCACTTACCCCGATCGATGATAATTAAAAATATTAAAAGAAGGTACTAAGCTTGGCTAAGTTAGGTTCGTGACTTTTTAATGGGCCTGCTTGTATTAAATCTAAGTGAAATGAAACCCAAAGTACAAATCATTGAAAAAATTGATCGTCCGCAAAATACCTAAATAGTTAAAGGAGAATATTCCAAAAAAATAGAACTAAACGGGAGAATATGATTCATATAGTCGACTCTAAAAATTTGGTATAAAGACTTTGTTATTGTTGTGTATTATTATCAGAAACTGAGAACTCTTTTCTTTCTCAATTGCAGGCTTGTGCGACATGTTGTCAGGGCTAACCGTGAGCATGATTTGGATTTAATCAAAAACAGCCCGGTTTTTCTATAGAGTGCCCATGGACACTCTATAAGGGAGGAGAGAGATAGAGAGAAATGAATTATACACAGAAATTAATGCAAATCAGGGGGGCCATGAGCTATTCATTTCTCTCTATATCTCTCCTCTCTTATAGAGTGCCCATGGGCACTCTATAGAAAAACCGTAAAATAAATAACAAAATAAGGTCCTAAACCTGACAAATTTATGTTTGGGCCTTCAGTTGTCCTGCTCATCTGAATCTAAGTAAAATGAAATCCAAAGTCCGAACTGTTGAACACCCAAGAACTAGCAGTGTTGTGTTATACTTTAAATTAAAAGGGAAATAGACAGTCAAATGAAAATATCAATGAAGCTATAACATGTTTTATGTATTAAAAATATGAAACAGTGAGAGAATACTAAGTAAAATAGAAAAATTCACTAAATATGATTAAATAATTAGAAATTAGAAAAATGAACTTAAAAAAAAACTTTACATAAACAACATGAACATCAGTGACCTTGGCTGCCTAAAAAAGCATTTACTGAGGCACCATAAATACCTAAGACATTTCAGACTCAATATACATTACAGAAAAAGTACACAATTAGAGTAAAGTTGGTTAATATCTACAGGCCAGTAATCACAACTTTTTAAACATTAACAAAGTATTGCAGATACAAATACATAAGAAACTTTATTAAAATTATAATATGAAAAAGTACATAAATAACATAAAAACTATTGTCTACTACCTCAAGGATCAAGTCACAAATACGAGAAATACTGCTGATTACTTTCTGTGGTCATGGGGAAAATGTGTTGACAAACCTTATGGCAGAGCTTCACCATCAGCCGGCTCCTCTAGTTTTTAAAAAGAAATCAGCAATCGTGAGGAATGGCTCAAATTCTCTCTTTCTTGGTTTACATATTTAAGTGATTCATATTTCCTGGTGGAATTTTTTTTCTGCTCCTCCATGATCATTTGTCACCATGAAAACAGAAAACAAATAAAATGTTGAACCTGCAAACCAAGTTGAGAAGAGGAGAGAGGAAAGCGTAGATTATGTTGTTCCTTTTCTCACAAATAAATAGTCTTTAAAGAAAATGAATGAAGAGTGCACACAAAAGAGGGCAATGAGATGAGAATTTTGATCATATCTTCAGAGATTTAAACAAGTTAATTCAATGATCTGCGCTCACAATTAATGACCATGATGATCCTTTCATGTTTTCGCGCTTTGGGGTGGGGGTGGGGGGTGGTAACCAAAGAACAGAAAAAAAGAAACATCCCCATAAAAAAAATCTCAAGTGGAGCCCCATACACTATAGCTAGGGGGGTGTGCCCGTAGCACCTCCCATATCCCAAACAATGTGCACAAGTATCAAGTAGTCATATAACATACCTATGCATGCATGCAGTTGGAAATTTGTCTGAGGCATCCAGCCCAATAAGAAATGTTAATATAATAATACCCCAAAAGAATTTACCAAATCACGACTGTTAATACTCAAAAAGAATTCACCCAATCATAATGGTTAATACCTCAAAAGTATTTCTTCATGAACAAAACTAACACTAAAAACCACTCGCATAAATATGTATATATGTAGATTCATGCATACAAACATTAATCATATAAAAAGAAACTTGGTCCTCTTTGAGGATTTTCCCGCCAGGCCCCTTACATTCCACCGGAATTCAATAGCAAGATACCTATTTTTATAATCCACTCAATTGACACTAATCTATATTGTTTAAGATATTTCAGATTCTTTATCCATGTATCCATCGTCCACAAAATGGACAAGAACAAATGCTATTTGCTCTAATATTTACTTTAGATAAAAAAAAATTTGATCCAAACATTTGTTCTTGATAAAAAACACTTAGAAACACATATAAACCATCTTCTACGCCTTGGAACATTTCACGCCTGTAAAGCAGCCAAATTACTATTTAGATCATTCGTCTTGCTGGTACATGGAAAAAAGCTTCGAAAAAGCTTGATATCTGGATTTTAGACACTTTCGAGCGATAGAAACACCATATAATGGAACGGATCTTTCATGTGAATTGTTACATATAATTTGAATGAGAAGAACTTGGTTCCAAGTCCTTCCAGATGTAAGCAAGTTCATCTCTCTCTAAACACGCATACATACAACATAAAAAGGCATTGTGAATTCATTTTCAATTTGAAAATCAACTATTTAACTAATAACTAGCTGTAAGATTTGCAAAAAAATAGAAAGAAAGAAAAAAAAAGATGCAAGAATCTAATGCTTGCCATGACCAAGTTAATTACGTGTCGAATCTGTTTGCTACTACTGATGATAAGAGTACCTCCGGGGTCAGTTCTTTAGCCATACTTGATTACTTTCCTCTATTATCCACTCCCAATTCAGAATCCGATAATCCTTCACCTTCAGACTCGGTTTCAGCTTCAGTGAACTCATTATCAGAATCAATTTCATCTTCTGTGACTGCATCATCTTCAGAATCAAGTTCAGTGTCTAAGAGATCTGTTGATATATCATCATTTAAGTCTGCACATTCTTCTTTCCTTGAGTATGATGTTTCTGTTCGTACATGGCATGGGTTTTCCCCCTTGTCATCATACACTAAATCGGAATTACGAGAGTTGGGGTCACCATATAGAGCAACATGTCGATAATAAAGTTCTAGTTCCTTCTCAGAGATTGCAATGAAGCGCCTCACGGTTTCAAGTGATTGCTCATACTTAGATTTTTCAAGAGCCTGGAACCAGAAAACCGGACATGCTAGTTAACATTATTTGCTTAATAAAATGAAATTTATACATAGTTAAAAAAGTACATCATTCAAACTGAACGAGGAGAGTGGAGAGAATTATTAGCTTGACAGATCTACGTACTTTTTTCTTTGACAGCGTATCAATGGGAGACATGACTTCAGGTTGAACATAGTCCTTGCCCCGATAAAATATTATGGTATCATCTCCGATAATTTGAATCGGTACTCCGCCACTAAGCCTAGCTATGTCTCTCGCGTATTCATGAACTTGGCCAGGCTTACATGGTTTACAGATAACCTTCACAGTTTCATGTTTTTTCCAATGCAAATGCATGTTCAATATTACTCCTCCAAAGACGCCTCTCCTGCCAACTGGTACATAATTAGACCTTTTCTGTGCCATCTTCTTCATATAAAAGCGTTCTTCACCAGACAGCTCGTCTGGTTTAGGCATAGGGCCTTGCAGTTTTGGAACTTCATATTTCTTCAGCTTTTCTACCAATAATGCTTCCTTTAATTTAGCCTGCAGTTGAAACATGTCAATTCTGAGTACTTAACCCTTCCAACCACCATTTAGTGATGCTAAACATGTGTAAGGAGTAAGATTTACTTCGAACTGCAACTCGGCTTATTAAAAGGATTTACTTAGACCTATAAATTTAAAATTTTGTTATGAGTTGTTAACAGCAGAGCGCCAGTTCGTAAGTTACCAGTATTGTTCGGAGTACTAACATTGGAACTGCAACTCGGCTTATTAAAAAGATTTACTTAGAACTACAGAACTACAAATTCAAATTGCCTATGAGTGGATTACAGACTAAAGTAGTTTAAATTAACTTAACTTTTTACAAGATCATGAATAGTAATTCTCATTCAACTCTTATCTGAACTTCATATTGATATGGCATATATGAACCTGACCCATACGTATGAATTTGAAGTGTAAATATAATCATGCCAATTTAGGCAGAAATTTGTAAATTCATATTGATATGGCACATATGAATTGACTCATATGCATGAATTGCGCACTTTTTGGGGGTAAATTGCAGATAACCCTCCTCATCTTTACACTTAGTAGCACTTATCACCCTCAATTCATAAATGAGAGGCTGTTATCTGCAATTTATCCCTGTCAAAATGAGTATCCAAAGGTGGTAAGTTCTAGTAAAATAAAATATTGAGGAACGATATGTGATAATGGAGGTACAGATGACGGGGGGTTGTCTGCAATGTACCCTTTTCTGTGATAGCTGAATCTTCTAAAAAATAGCAATTTAGGGGTGTTTAGTGCTAAATGAGGGTGCTATCTGACACAGAAAACAATCGAAAGGATCAATTTTGAGCCAAATTCTCATCACCTTCTCAATCTTATACTTGATCCTCTCCTCTGCAGTAGCAAACTTTTTCTTCATCTTCTTCCCTTTGGGCCTAATCCTTCGTGGGTCCCGCTTGTTAGCCTCCCTCCTCTTCCTCTTCTCCCTCTTCCTCTGCTCCTTCAGCCTCTTCTTCGACTGCCATTTCTTCCTCTTAGGCTCCTCCGATTCTAGGGTTTCGAACCTCGGGATCGAATCGGAGAGGATGAGGTTCACGGACCCATGGCTCAAATTTCTTGATGGGTGTAAGAGATTTTTGAAGGGGTTAGGGTTTGAGAGGAGAAGACAGGGAGTTGGGTTTCGAGAGGAGAAGGGTAAACTGAAGTGGGTTCTTTTGATTAGTCGCCGGAGTAAGAGAAAGCGGGTCGCCATTGAGAGAGAGCGGATGGAGAGGTTTTGGGTTTATAGAAGGGTTTTTATGCATATGTACCTCCAAATCTGCCTTATTTGCATAATTACCCCTCACATCTGCATATTTGCTAATTTACCCTACACTTTATCATAATGAATTTTTTCACCCTCTCATTTAGCATATTGTTAAAGACTACATATCCTCTCAGAATGCCACGCACCATATGTGGCGTTCTGAGCCGCTCATTTACGGAAGTGAGGGGCACTTTCGTAAATTCCCTCCCCCTGTTTGGCTATAGGAACCCCGCACGGTGTGGGGTCCTGATAGGAAATGCACTCATTGTTAAAACTCATAGAGATAAATTAAGCAAATATGCAGAGTTAGGAAAATCATGATTTTAGGTATAGAAGCAGACTCTTTGCTTATGGGATGAGAGGAGGATATTTTTGTCATTTTACCATTTCTCAATTTGAATTATTTTTATTTTTATTTTTATTTTTTGTGGTGATAGGCAATTTGAAGTTTAGCTGTGCCAAGAGGAATACT